GGATATATCTATTCAAAATTCATTTTCTTCCTCTCGCTCTGTGTGCGTGTACTACATACACACACACATACATACATATATATATATATATATATATATATATATATATAGAGAGAGAGAGAGAGAGATACGTCTGTACATATTTGGCTACTATCTTTTTCTAGCTGTCTATATATGAGGCTCTATTCATATTATATACCTACATTAATCCTTACCTATCTGTTAATCTAATTCACACTTATTTGATACTGCCTATCTGATCATATGAAATCGCGCCACTCTCGTCGTCCGCGCAAATGATGCTCTTAATAGTTAGAAAACGTGCCTATACATCTTCGAGAATTTATACGTGAAGAAAATGTCATAACCCTCTCATCCACATGTCCACTAGCGTCGATCCTTACTTATTCCGTGTCTGTTCATCAGCTGTAAGGTGTTCTTCGGTTCGGGTCCTTTTCCAGAATAACTGCAGTTGTATGAACGGATCGGTTGCTAGATTAATTTGCAAATAGTATGATCGTGTTACGTTCGAAATCTCAGCAAATTTTAAATATCGAATTTCGCTTCTTTTGTAGCCTAAACTATTTTATTTTTGCACGTAGTCCCCAGAAGTTAGGATCCATCCAAAAAATGAGATTCATAATGTGTAGCGCAGTGTTTTTCAAATGTTGACCAATGTCGAGGGTGTCTGAATTAAGACCTTGTAAGACAAGGAAAGTTTGCGATGAGGTAGACATGAACTAAAGGGGAAAAGTATCAATAACGGAAGAAAGAATCGAGACAAAACAGAGAAAATTACAAAGAGTGCTGCAAAGAGGAGGGGGTATGACTTTTGATCGATTTTCAAATTTAGGGCCGTTTGCGCTCATTTTTTAATAATAGAACAATATGAACGTAAAAAAATCATTAAGACATTGGAAGGGCAAAAAAATCTACGAACTCCAGCTCACATGTTCATTAGCATGTCGTCTGTTAACAGAGGAAAAAAGACTAAGCTGACTATGTAACTACGTGGTCAAAAAATCAAACATAACTGACGAGAGACAGAACAGGGAAAAAGTTTTTTAGTCATATATATATATATATATATATATATATATATATATATATATATATAATATTTTTTATTTAAAAATATGATTCCTTCCTTCATAAAGTTCTCATGTTTCCAAAACGAGCCGAAACCATCAAATATTGAAATTAAATTGAATTGAGTGTATTTGGTCCAGTGAAATTTTAAGAAACCTAAAATTTCGCTTGAAGATGAAACGGGAAGAAACACCTCAATTCAATTTAATTTTAATAATTATTTGGATGGTTTTGGGCTCTCGTTTTGAAACATGAGAAACTTTATGTAGCGAAACAAAATATTATTATAATAAAGCTCTACTTCTGTATAGAGCACTGTCTTCTTAAAATAAAACAAAAATACTAAGGAACTCGGATTATGCACCCAACGTGTTCTTTTCTATTTTCTGCACTTATACCTGCACATTATACACACACACATATATATATATACATATATATATATATATATATATATATGAAGAAATATAATTTTAATGTGTGCTATATTTATGGGATAAAGTGCTCAATATCAGAGATAGACCGTATGTAAATATCAATATGAAAGTGAACATTGAAGTCAAAACTCAGAGTCATCTGAGTGTTGACTTCAATGTTCACTTATATATATATATATATATATATATATATATATATATATATATATATATATATAGGGTTATAGAGGATTGAGGATAAGAGTAAAGAGGTGTGTTTGAGAATGGATACAGAGAAGGACGGGGGACAATCTCAGGTTGTCAGATGTCGATTGATATTACACTTGAATATCTGAAGATTATAGTAAGGGAAGCAAGTAAGGGAAGGAGTTCCACTGGTGGGAAGTGCGGAAGAAGAAGCTGTTTGAGTAGAAGAGGCGGTTACATTTAACAGTTTCGGCAGTGAAAGGTTGGGACCGAGATGCCAGCCTGGTAGCACGTTTAAACTTATGTTGTCCGGGAACCAGTGAAAGTAGCTTGTCAGAACAAGTGTCGTGAAAATACTTCTAGAAGAGATAGAGGGAAGTCACGGTACGTCTGTGAGAAAGCGACTGTAGACGAGCTGCCAGATCATATATATATATATATATATATATATATATATATATATATATATATATATATATATATATATATATATATTAGTGGTAATTTACATATGCATTAGACATCCGACAACATTTTCTCTTACTTAAACCCCTACAACCCACCTCTCCTAAAATTCTCTCTGTTAAGGTTTGATCTCCCTCCTCCTATAACTCTCTCTAAATTCTGTTTTTATTTCCGGAGTTGTTTTTTCTGTTTTCTTTTTTTGAATTTGTGGGTCTGATGAATTGGATCGTATTTACGATTCCAATGGAATAAATTATGACCGTGGAATATTAGTGTTTAAGCCTTATTATTATTATTATTATTATTATTATTATAATATATATATATATATATATATATATATATATATATAAATCAGGGGTTGCATGCAAGGGGTTGCAAGGTGTGGAGGAATGGGTAGAAAGGAACAGAGCAATCTGGAAATAAGTAGATAGCGATTGACAGGGCATTTAAAGTTTTGCATATTAAAGTTGGTTAGAAAGCAAGGATCTGGGAGGGAGGTCCACAAGCGAGAAGTGCGAGATAAGAAATTGTTAGCATAGAAGTTACGTCTACACCGAGGTAGCTCAATTTTAAATTGATAAGACCTCGGCGCCAGTCTAGTATTGCGCTTAAATTCATAAAGTCTAGGCACCCTAGCAAAGGTCTTATTCGAACAGTTACCATGGAAGTATTTATAATAATTATTTCATGATCTTTTACCGTATTTTCGTGATGAGTTAATCTTTTCCTTGATATATATATATATATATATATCATATTGCTCTGCCGTCTATATATTGAGCTCTCTACGGATCTATCTCTTTAATATTTTATGTTAAAAATAACGACTTGGATTATCTTCTCCACTTACGGATTTGATATTGTTTATCTATCTATCTATCTATCTATCTATCTATCTATCTATCTATATATATATATATATATTATATATATATATATATATATATATATATATATATATATATATATATATATATATATATATATATATTCAAACATATTAAATATAACGGATAAATGTTATTTTATGTCAATTATGTTGGATCATGAACCGTTATCAGCTTCGTATAGTTGCTTTCATTTCTGAGAGAAAATAAACACAAAACTGTCACACACACACACACACACACACACACACACATATATATATATATATATATATATATATATATATATATATATATATATATATATATATGTATGTATGCAAAAATATTGATAAAATAGGAAAGGACCGTTAGATTGATAATCCGAAGTTCTTTAGTATTTTTTTTATTTTTAAAAAACAGTGCTCAATACACAAGTAGATCCTAGTTTATAATAATTATCTTTTTAAATTTCTTTTTTTTTTAATCATTCTTTTTCAAAAAATCATATGTATGTATGTGTGTCTATTAGCTTCTGATAAACGATCTGATGATCACTTGAGCCGTGAAAGTGATATAGTTTTGATTTCTATGTCCTCACTATCTACAGACCCTCTCTCTGTGATAGTCCTTACTCTCCTCGCATAAATATAGCAAATTATAAGGTAATATATACATGTTTCTTTGGATAATAATAGCGAAAAGTCCAAAATTTCCTTTTTTTTTTATTAACTTTCTCAAATTTCGGAATTAGTTATTTTATATAATCGATTAATTTACCGAAGTTCATGCTTATTTATTGATTGTTTTTCACGAATACATTCTTTTACAAGGTTATGAATTCGGAAATTTGAGAAAGTTCATAAAAATCTGGATAGACAGAACTTGTCGATTTTAATAAGCCAAACGTGTTTGAAGGAATTCTTGTTGTCGAAATAGACATGGTCTCTCTCTCTCTCTCTCTCTCTCTCTCTCTCTCTCTCTCTCACGATATATATATATATATATATATATATATATATATATATATATTTATATTATGGTGAAATCAATGTCTTGCACTATAAAATTAAACCAGCCTATCAAACCAATTTACTAGCGAACGTAAGATATACGTCATTATCTTAGGCAACATCGATTCAGATATATATATATATATATATATATATATATATATATATATATATATATATATATATATATATATATATATATATATATATATATATGTATATATATATATATATACATATATATAGGTGCATCTGATCTTGAACAAAATCTAAATTTAGAATTGTTAAATATTCCGTAATGGCGTATAATAATCTAAGGCAGGATCGAGATGATAGATAGATAGATAGATAGATAGATAGATAGATAGAAAGCGATTTTTCCAGCGTAGCTTGTATGTGGCACAAGGCCGAAAATAAGGGGTACCCAGGGAGAATTGAACTCACTACACAGTCGTAATTGTTCTAGCGATACAAGCTTGTTAATCATTACACCATCTCGAGGTGCCAAAGATAGATAGGTAGATAGTATAGGGGCGTGATTAGACAGATCTTAATAGGCTGGCATTGCTTTAAATGCACTAAAATTTGAATAAGCTGAATTGAAAATCATCGTTAGATCTGACGTGTTTATGTCCTTTCGGCCACGAAGTACGCCTATGATTAAGCAATCCGTCGAAGTGCAGTTGAAATGCATTGAAACCAAGTTGCATCTTTGTAGTGAGTAAAATAGTTTTGTCTATATGATAAAAATATATATATATATATATATATATATATATATATATATATATATATATATATATATATATATGATTTTTCCTGTCTCTTAGTATTGAGCCAGTCGATTTACGTCGTGTCATTTTATCGTAACATTGGGAAGATAAGAGTCGACAAAATCGTCAAGTAAATGCAGTCTAGTATTATGTACAATTCGTAAGGGTATGTTTTTAAAATTTCGTCTGTGATTTTGCGTTACTATGAAAATGCAGTCTGTATATTGATCATATATTGTAATTTTAGCGAACGTAAAATTTAAATTTAAGCGCAATGTCAATCGTCATCTGTTTAATTTTTTTTTAATCCAGTTATTTCATCGCTCTCTCTTCTCAATAATGTTTTCTGAGTTTCCTTTACTCTCAGTAAGCCCTTGCGCCTTAGTGGCTTTTTTCCCTCTTGCTTGGGGTGAAATGGATAAAAATCTTTTGTGAAATCCAACCAACAGCCTATTTGATTTTTTATATTTTTCCAGTTTTTGAATGATATGTTGCATAACGGAAGTGAAATTGTCTGCCGTTCTTGTTTATTTACTCATCAATAACATCATCTCAAAACATACATATATATATATATATATATATATATATATATATATATATATATATATATATATGTGTGTGTATGTATATTAGCAGCATGGCCTGGCGTTGCCTGTTCTTGATTTAAAAATCGTACGACTCATACAGCAATCGCTTTATCCCTTTGACTTAGAATATTTTTGCCCCCTTCCTTGCCTTTAAAGGAGTGCCCTTTTGCCGTGCTGATGTTGCTACATGCCTTACTTCTTGCCTATCTCATACTGCGAATTTTTTTCTAAGCTCTATACTAAACATTAAATCTGTTACGAAAAAAGAACTAAACAAAATGAACACAAAACGATCAGCTTTAAAAAAGGACTCGTAACAGAAAAAACCGAATGAAAAAAGAATGTTAACAACAATTACTTTTTCACACCCAACCGAGTTCTGCGGTATCAGAATCAACGTTGAGTTTAAGCAAGCGAATGAGCCAATTGGAGTAAAGTGCCATGCAGATTTAAATTTTTCCCACTTGTGACGAATGCAGCTATCGATTTTTTTTGCATGCTAGTTAACATTCGTGTCAGTCAGCTGTTGACTCTCACGCTGGTCAATAGAATCTTCCTGCCTATTCGTGGCAGCCAGCTATAAGCTCTCACTCTGGCCAGTAGAAAATGGCCGCAAAGTACATGAAAACTTCCGTAGAAGCATGAAAAAATCGATTATTTCCACTATCGATGGAAGTTGGGAAATACAAAGTCGGTCTTGGCCTTCCCGCTAACTTGGAGCATGTGCATGTAAATTTTGGTGCAAATCTGTCGAAAATTGCGGCCGTGCATTCGTTACACACACACATATCCTGCCTTTTATATATATAGATAGATAGATATAGATATATATGCGTGTGTCTGTGTATGTGCGTGTGTGTATGTGGATCTAACTTTACAAATATATGCATATATATCTACCGGCTGACCTGTGTAGTATTCCATTATTTTTACGATTTCTTTGCACTTAGCTATTATGTAAATTATTAGGCGGACTCTTGTTCATTATTCAATAAATACTGTATATTAAACAAAATTGAAAGTAAAATTAAATGAGGTTAAAAATTCTCCCCTTGCTCTGAATGAAAAAAAGAATTAAGAAATTGGTAATACATACATATCTTTAAACTCATATTTTAAAAATTAATTTAACTTAAGCCAGTTGAAATTTAAGGGATCCTTAAGGCAATAATTTTAGGATTAAAATCTTGTGACATTTCCACCTAAGCATCAGCAGAGTTTTCTATAGAGGGATGGACAATTTGTATGAAGATTTTCACTGTGATGTAGAAAATATTTAAAGAAGCAACGATGCATTTTATATTTACATGCGTCTTATCTGTGAGATGCATAACTTTTACCAGTAAATATAGCATGCCTATAAAACCATATTTTCATTTCATATATATATATATATATATAATTTTCATATATATATATATATATATATATATATATATATATATATATATATATATATATATATATATATGTGTATATATATATTTATATATATATCTATACATACATATATATATATTATTCTGCATGTTGAGCAGCAAATATATAGGTAGATAGATATATAGAGAAAGATGCGCGGGTATTACTCATTTAAATTTGTCTATGCGTATATTTAAAGAAATAAATGCTCATAGACATATAAATATGTATAAAATGTAATATATATATATATATATATATATATATATATATATATATGTATGTATGTAAATATATATATATATATATATATATATATATATATATTACACTGGACAATATTTTATTTTTTATATGACTGGGCGTAACTTAAGCTCACGATATATAGAGATACACATATATGGATCTATATGTGTATAAAGAGGAACGAACAGTCAGTCAGACAGACAGACAGACAGATAGATAGATAGATAGATAGATAGATAGATAGATAGATAGATAGATAGATGCTCCCAATATGATAAAATAATTATTTATTTGTAGTTCTGCGTCGAATTTTCATGTTTTCTATTCGCACTAGTTTTCCCATTTGTTGTCACCCGACATACTTTCCGGCCATCCACAGGTGTGTATCTCGTCCCGTAATTTCTGCGCAGTAGCCTATATTATGTTAACGTTTACAAAAATATTTATCTCGTCCGATCAGTGATCCAATTCGCTGACATTCGTTTTACACTGGGAAAATTCTGTGCACATACGCGCGATAAAGTAGTGTTTGATTGCAACGTATAATTTACTGGTATTTGTCAATTTTCGTAAATATATCTAAGATAGACGGCTGTATGTATGAACTGTTTGAAGACAGTGAATTATCAGTTAATTTTCGAATACAGACAGGTAAATATCTATGTATTTTTATAAACATTCTCTCAATGAGGATTTTACGTGCAATATATATATATATATATATATATATATATATATATATATATATATCTATATACATACATACATACATATATATATATATATATATATATATATATCGATCTATCTAACTCAGTATCTTCAATATCTATCATTCTGCCTGTCTATCTATGTATCTATCTATCTCAGTTTCTTCATATTTTTGTATATTCTTGCATATCTATCTGTCTGTCTATCTATCTATCTATCTATCTATCTATCTATCTATCTATCTATCTATCTATAAGGTAAATAATGCATTTAATATAAGTCTATACATAAATATATATACAGAGAAAAATTAGAGTACTAACACGTGTATATATATATATATATATATATATATCGAGAGAAAGAGACGGAGATAGAGAAAGATATAAAAATACTCTGATATAGATATAAACAGTTTATGCTAGACAGGTAGCCTGGCAGATAGATATGAACAGTCTGCTATGTAAATTAAATTTATATATATATATATATATATATATATATATATATATATATATATATATATATATATATATATATATGTATGTATGTATATATATATATATATATATATATATATATATATATTTATTTTGAAAAGAGAAAAGAGAGTTCGAAAACGTTTTTGGTTCTAATGTGAAATTTTAAAAATATATATTACACTTCATTTTCCATATTTTTACTACATAAGTTTCGGGTTTTGTGACCTTCATCAGGTGAAGAATGATTATTTCCATATATTATTTAAAGGAATTAATTTTTCCCTCATGTTTTGATATGCTTAACTATTCTCTTTAGTGTGTAGTACTAATACAAATTCTTCTTTTGCTAGTGGAGAATATGTTCCTCTTCTTAAGGAGTAATAAAACAATATATACATACATATCTATCTATCTATCTATCTATCTATCTATCTATCTATATATATATATATATATATATATATATATATATATATATATATATATATATATATATATATATATATATATATATATATATATAAATTGATTTGTTCGACCGACTATATAAAATTTGACGAAAGGAGCACGCATTAGAATTTTGTGTGGAAGTGAACTTCACTGTGGAGCCGAGGGTTAAAAAAAAAAAAACTTCTTATGTCGAATAAATTCTTTTACTTTTTACCGTTAGGCTACTAACTTATCGATTTAGCCATTTGCATATTATAAAAACCCGTCTTTTTTTTCCTCGTTTCTGTTTTTCTCGTTTGGATTTTCCAATAAATGTCAAAAATCGGCTTCAAATAAAATGCTCCATAAACTCTCGATGGCGCTGATTGACCTCTTATTGACATTGTGGGGCGTTCATACAAACTTCGCAGACATCTATCAAATAATAATAATAATAATAATAATAATAATATCTAAAAGTAGTCGTTAAAATTTAATGGTTTTCCTATTTCAATTTTCTGATTCTTAAGTTAATATTTGAAGAAGCTCATTACGAGTTTCACGACAATAAAATAGCCGTGGAAATTTCACTATTGCGTCGTTTAATATTTTATCTTAACAACTTAAACATATATTGCTATAAGAAGCATTGGAACTGTCTTTATTTAAAGATGTAAGAGGGTACAAATGAAATAATTTGAAAACTACAAGCTTTTCCATTTCACTGAAGCTGTCGTTAAATGCTTGAGATTGTTATGGCTTCTTTCTTTCTTTCTTTCTTTTCTTTCTTTCTTTCTTTCTTTCTTTTATTTCCAATTTCGTTTTCTCTTTTCTTTCTAATTCCTTTTTAAATCTTTCTTTCTTTCCTTCTTACGTACTTTCTTTACATTTTTCTTTTCTTTTTCATTCTCTTTTTTTAACTTTCTTTCTTCTTTCTTTCCTTTTTTCTTTCTTTCTTTCTTTCTTTCTTTCTTACTTTCTTTCTTTCTTTTATTTCAAATTTCGTTTCCTCTTTTCTTTCTTATTCCTTTTTAAATCTTTCTTTCCTTTTTACGTTCTTTCTTTACCTTTTATTTTATTTTTCTTTCTCTATTTTTAACTTTCTTTCTTTCCTTCCTCCTTTCTTTCTGTCTTACTTTTCTTTCTTTCTTTCTTTATTTATTTCTTTATTTCCAATTTCGTTTCCTCTTTTCTTTCTAATTGCTTTTTAAATCTTTCTTTCCTTTTAACGTTCTTTCTTTACCTTTTCTTTTTCTTTCTCTATTTTTAACTTTTTTCTTCTTTCCTTCTTTCTTTCTTTCTTTCTTTCTTTCCAATTTCGTTTCTTCTTTTCTTTCTAATTCCTTTTTAAATCTTTCTTTCCTTCTTACGCTCTTTCTTTACATTTTTCTTTTCTTTTTCTTTCTCTATTTTTAACTTTTTCTTCTTCTTTCTTTCATACTTTCTTTCTGTCAGCATAACAAACAGCGTCTCTTTATATGTCTTTCTCAACTTTTAATGCGATCAATCCTCCATTAGTTTTGAGGTAATGGCAGGACGTAACGGCCGTGTTAACAATCTATGGAACAAAGGAACATGCAGAATTATACTATGATTTTATTGAGTAGATCAGTTTTTTTTAAACAATATCACATATACTATTACACTACAGCCTGTGCCCTTTTTTTCTTTCACTAAATAATAATAATATTAATAATTATTATTATAATGGTGACGATGATAAAAGTTCATTCAATTTTCCAAAGAAACGCATTGAATATCAGCGATGAAACAGATAACTGGATTTTCTTCTTAAACTACAGTTCACCCTTTACAAAGCTCATCAGAAAAAAACGGTATTTGAAAAAGGAAACCGAAGGATTATTCATGGCAACATAGAATCGAGCATTGCGGACAAACTAGGTAATTTTGAATGTTGAATATTATTATTACAGCTAGTTTAGTGTTTCTGCTATGTATTTAGAGATTCTTGATGAGATAAAAATAAGCATATGCAATGTTATTGGTCCTGAACCGGCATCTCACCTTCAGTCACATTCCTACGCTTGTAAGGTAACTTCTGTTACAGTTTTTTGTGTAACTAGTGAGCGAGTCAAAATGACTTAACTCCCTTTATAGTCCACCAATAGAAGGTTAACCAACCAGAAGCCGCAGAACATTGCATCTGTCGTGTATAAAGGCGGCCATCTTCGTTTACCCTACCCGAATGAACAGTGCCAACTTGTCAGGCAAAGATGAACAGAAGGAAGAACTACGCTCTGCTACTTTGCTGCGATATCCACTGCTAACCTGAACTACACTTTCCTACTGTATCCGAAATATTCACTGCTAACCTCTGGATTCTATACTCGAAGACGACCGTGTGCCGTTTCTATAAATATTTTCATCATAATTTTGTGATGCGTGTGGAGAGAGATGAGACTTTTTGTCATGTAGTATCAGAATACAAGAGCATAACTCCGAATGTGTATAAGAAGTGGACTCGTGACTAGCTACCATTATTCATTGGAAGTGAGGTAAAAAGAGCAGGTTTGAAACCTAGTGACAATTATTATAGTTACAAAGAAGAAGAAGAAAAAGATCTGTAGAAGAGCAAATTACAATAATTACAATACCAGTAATTACAATACCAGTGATAATGAGAACACTGGGATGTTTAAAAAACTAATAAAAACTGCAGATAATAGATTGTGATTTGAAAATAAAAACCGCGAAGAACAGCGGACATTCTTCGAAAATTATTCAATCATGCCGTTGAAAAGAAGAAATGATCGATTTATTTCTTTAAGCCACGAAAGTGACCCGAAAACAAACGTTTTACAAGCAACCAACATAATATGCTGCGTATGATATAAAAACAGCAGCAGCACCAACAATAACAATAATAATGATAATAAAAATAATAATAATTAGAGGCGAAAATAAAGCGAAAACACAGACGTACCAAGACCTGGCATGGCAAATCAGAGAATTTTGCCAGGCAGTAGCTCAAGTTACCCCTTTTGTGCTTAGTGAACTCGGGGCTATTTCCAGGAATCTGTTACAGTCCAGAATGATGACGATATTTCATCATTCTAAAAATAAACTTGCCATCAGTGATGATAAAAAATCATCATTCTAACCCTCATCATTATAAAAACGACCCTTCCACCACAAGAGGGTCAGTAGAGTAGTGGGTACCTGTAGCAGTAGTCAGTAGACGGGTAGACAAGTAGCAGTACAAAAACACACGTCTAGCCAGTGCTCCCGGAAGACCGAAAACCGACGATTTCTAAACGCCATCCTCACAAGCGAAATTCTCGGAACCAAACCAAGTACTGACTTTTAAACAAAAGAGACAATGAAAATATTTTTACACACACCATAACAATATTCTGTAATTCACATCACAAAAAAGAAAATACAAATTCTTGTTATTTATGTCAACAGGTGTCTCAAGTTTTTATTGTTTTATCGTTGTATGTTTTATGCATCTTAATTCCTGCCATTAATAATCGACCTCATTACAAATCTTTTTGACTCCCAAGACACTTTGGGGATACCTGACATTGGGAGTGAGTAGGTGAGAGCGCTGCTTGGAACAGCCTCATGCGCTAAGGAAAGTGATGTATCTCCAAGCTGCTGACCGAAACATCGAAGAAGTTCTCAAATAATAACAATAATAATAATAATAATAATAGTAGTAGTAATAGTAGTAGTAGTAATAATAATAGGCCAATAAAACTAAAATCAAACAGAAGATCAATAAAGTGTAATCTTATCTGCTCACTGATATGCGTTCGCATCAAAAGATAGACCTCTTTGGAAAGTACAGAAAAAACTCTCCAAATATGAATGCAAAGATCCAGAAATAGAAATTTGCGAGAATGTGGAGCATGAAGACAACAACAATAAGAGCGACAACAGGTGCTCCCGATCTGGTCAAGAAAGGCATGGAAAAATACACCGACAAAATCTCCACCAACATTAAGCTACAAGAAGTCTAGTAGATCGTTCTTCTCGGCGTTGCTCAATTATTAAGAAGAACGCTGTCCATAAAATAAATCATTTACGACGCGGTAAAGAATTAATTTCAACTCGCAATTAATTTCAACTTGGAACTAAGGGTTAAGGTTAGAGTTAGGGTTTGTAAATCCAGGGGAAATTAGTTCCGAGTTGAAATTAGTTCCGAGCTGAAAATTACTTCCGAGGTGAGATTAGTTCCGAGTTTAAATTAGTTCCGAGATGAAAATTAGTTCCGAGGTGAGATTAGATCCGAGTTGAAATTAATTCCTAGTTGAAATTAATTCTGAGTTGAAATTAGTTCTGAATTGAAATTAGTTCTGGGTTGAAATTAGTTCCGAGAGGAAAATTAATTCCGAGGTGAGATTAGTTCCAAGTTGGAATTAATTCCTAGTTGAAATTAATTCCGAGTTGAAATTAGTTCCGAGGTGAGATTAGTTTTGAGTTGAAATTAATTTCTAATTGAAATTAGTTCCGTGATGAAACTAGTTCTGAGTTGAAATTAGTTCTGAGTAGAAATTAGTTCCGAGTTGAAATTAGTTGTGTAACTCATCACAACGCCTCAAGTTCAAGAGACAGAATCGGCTCTATGAATGAACAAAGTAGAACATTTTCTTTCTTCACTGTGCCGTGGGCGATGATGGCTCTCCATAAATTTCTATCCTTTGTAGCTCTTAGTAAGAGTACCTTTTTTGCTATCCGTTTGCACAAGCTTAGGTTATTCGCTGTTACTCTCTGTTTCTTTTGCTTTCCTGTGAGTGTCCAATTTTCCAAACCATTTTCCTCGTCATGTATCCTGGAAATGTCAACTCTCTGATTTTGAGCATAAGTGTCCTTTTTGTTTTCCGTTGCTTTAAAACATCCCCATTACTTCCATGTTCAGTCCGTGGTATTCTCAACACCCTTCTGTAGAGCCACATTTCTGTCGTCTCAAGCCTCGACTTTATCTGTTTTATTAAATGATTTATTCGTTTTCTACGGCTTCTACAGTCTCTTTGCAGGTTATTTAAAGCTAGAAAATATTTTTAGATTGAAAGATTTTGGTGGCGGGGGTTGGGGTGGAAATAATAAGGATTTAGCGATACAAGTCTTACTAATTAACCTATAGCTGGGGGGTAGGTAGATTCATACCTTTCCCAAGGGTATTTGCTCGTAACAAATATAACGAACCAATCTGGAATTGTTACTCGTCTCGCCGATAAAAAATTCCGAGCAATTTCTTCATCCATGCCTCTCATTTTCACTCACTCTCTCACTCTCTCTCTCTCTCTCTCTCTCTCTCTATATATATATATATATATATATATATATATATATAGTGTTTTGTGGATATATTAATAATGAGTCGTCTCTCTCTCTCTATATATATATATATATATATATATAGAGAGAGAGAGAGAGAGAGAGAGAGAGCGAGAGACGACTCATTATTAATATATCCACAAAACACTAATTTAACAAATCTTATCTACAAACTCAACAACATTGAACCTACAATAGACTACACGTTTGATACTGAAACCAACTACACTCTTTCTTTCTTAGATATTACATAGAAATAATAACGAACACAATTTTGATGTTTACAGAAAGGCTACAAACAAAAATGACCTGATCAGTTTCTACTCCAACCACTATTCCAGAATTAAATCTGGAATTATTATAGGTTTCTATCTGAAAGCATTAAGAATCTGCAGCCCCCAATATTTACGTAAAGAAGAAAAATACATAGAAAACACATTCAAAAACCTACAATACCCATATCATTTCATCCACCATGCAAGAAGAAAGGCATGCATAATACACATAATCCGCAATAATAAATTACATGAAAACAGATACATAATACTACCGACCAACTCTGTCACGTCCACTATCCAGAACAACCTATCCAATCTAAATAATCTTAAAATAGTCACAAACACTACATTATGGATATACTAATAGCAATAATATTTCAGAAGCAGGCATTTATAAAATAAATTGCCAAAACTGTTCCTCTCAGTATATTGAAGAAACAAGTAGAAGTTAAAAAAAAAAACGAATTTATGAACACAAAAGTGACCTCACAAAAAAACAACTTAACTAATGCACTAGTCAGACATAGAAATAAATCCAACCACAATTTCGATTTTAAAAATGCTACACTCGTAAAAAAAAAGAAAATAACTCACTCAGAAGGAAAATCCTCGAGAGTGCCACCATTGAATATTACCCAAATATTAATCTACGCCCAGGCCTTTTCCCTATTTCACCTTTCTTAACAGAATTACTACTCTCCCAAGCAAACGTACAGAACTGTATTAAGAAATCAAAAGAAAAATCCGTCAACACAGCAATAAAAACAATATTTCCACACGTGACAGTAATTGACGTAATTTTCACTTGACAATATGAATATAATAGCGTTTTCTAAATTCTTTCAGTTGCTAAGGACATTTTGTTTTGTTATTATTAGTTATTTTGTGTTAATAAATTCATTTCGTTTTTGCCTTGAAAACGTCCACACTGGGCGAAACGCGTCGGCTAATATTACAGTTTTCCTATTGTCTTTTACATTTATAAATATACATATATTTATATACAAAATCATTTTCATCTGTTCAGCACGTAAAGAAAGGTATGTTTCACAATTATGTAATTTCTAACGATTTTTTTTTTCTCTTTTTTAATACTTTACTTAGCTTTTGGAATGCATCTTTTACTATTCCAATGCGCCTTCGGATTGCAGGATATTGGGGCAAAATATGTAAATAATAATTATTTATTTTTTTGGAAAAAGTAATACTTAATGGAGCGCTATTGTTCACTGATTCCCCCCCACCCCAAATATTTCTAAATTTTCTTGTAAACACTTTAAACAGATCCAATAACATAGAAAGTTATAAAAACAACGTTGCCAAAATAATATCAACGCATCTGCCTACCTCTCTTGAGCAATGATAAGTTAAGTGTCCTTTGTGGATTCCTGGGTTAGGAAAGACAGATCCCTCGACCAAACCCTGTTTAAATATACAGTTGATTTGTGATATGGCAATGAAAAATGAAGTAACTGTATTCCCTTTAATCTCAGCAACACCTGGAAAAGTAATTTAATAACTTGTGAAAGTAATGCCGAAAAACATCCCCGTGTGCAATCACCATTATTCATCTATGTTTAATATTATTGGGAGTGTATTGCAATGGTCTAATTAATCACTTTTTTCTTCCCACCCACCCTTTTTTTAAGAGGGAGTTGAGATGTTATAAATATTGATATAGTACAACGGTAAATTTCCAGTTTCAGTCTAACGATTGCCACGTATATGAAATCCAGAGTTACACCAAACGACGAAGGACAAATGTATATTTATACCTAGCACCTATTTCGATATATAGGTTTATATATATTCTAGTCCAGGGATCAGCAACCTTTTGCTAACTATGTATCGACTTAGGGTTTTAAAATCATTCAGTGGGTCAACTGCATACGTGTTTTTATGCAAGTCAAGGTCAATATACCTGTTCTACAATATATTTCATATAGTAATATATAGTATATTTTTAGTACATATTAAGTATATCTTTATTATATATTAAAATTGTATTTTTTTATATTTTAGTATATATTAAAATTGAAACAACTAAATATCTTCTTTTCGTTGTAGTAGTTATTGGTTCGTACTTTTTGATGTCGTTTGCGATTGTCTGCCTTTGGAAAATTGTTTGGCGTGCCCTAGGTTGCTGACCCCCCTCTTCTAGTCATCTGAACATAGTGACAGTGTGAAACTCGTATCACTTTGTTAAATTTTAACATTTTAAATCGTTTTCTGCTCTGTCTAGATAATCTGGGCGCTGAACACTTTACTGAGTAGGTAGGTGTTTGTTATTTTCTTTCCTTTTCTAAGGTGCTAGATCTTCTGGTAAGTTGTCTGTTATATATATATATATATATATATATATATATGAGATAACGATATATATTTTTTATATATCAACAACAATACTGAGGAAAAGTGTGTGACAAAATGTAAAAAAAATTCTTGTGACGCGTTTCATCCTTCATCGGACTAAATTTGTTCTGTTGGTGTGACTACACACACGCACACACACACACATATATATATATATATACATACTTATATATATATATATATATATATATATATATATATATATATATATATATATATGGAGAGAGAGGAGAGACAGAAATCGAGAGAGATACTGATATGAAAAGAATGATATATATATTTATATATATATATATATATATATATATATATATGTATATATACACACACTCGTACACACACAGAAAAGAGAGAGATTAGATAGATATCAAAACTGATTTCTGTGTGTGTGTGTGTGTATATATATATATATATATATATATATATATATATATATATATATATTTCTAGAGATAGATAATTAGCTATATATTTCCCAAGAGAGATGAATATATACTTATCCATTTATCCATATAGATAAATACACATTGCATTTTATCTGTTTGGATAATAATAATAATAATAATAATAATAATAATAATAATAATAAGAAGAAGAAGAAGAAGAAGAAGAAGAAGATGATGATGATGATGATGATGATAAAGAAGAAGAAGAAGAAGAAGAAGAAGAAGAAGAAGAAGAAGAAGAAGAAGAAGAAGAAGAAAATGAGTAAATCAATCTTAACTAAAAATCTTTCGTAATCTTTAAAATATTCTAAAATAGCCAGGACACTCTGTGGGGCTGAGGGTCGTGCTTGCTTTCACACCATTTAGACCTGTGTAAATTGTTTGCCCCGT